CAGGTGAACAGGACCCGAAGGTGGGGACTGGGGTTCTAGGAGCCTTGCGTATCTACCCTGCTGTGTTTTCCTCTCGGGGCTGCAGTTAACCTTCCTTCGTCTACCACTGAAGGAAGGGACTTGCATATTTGCTCTGTTCGGGTGCTCCCCCAAAGCCCCCCGAGTATGGGATCGTTTACCAGTGGCCCTCCTGCTTTTAGAAGGAATGGCTGCCCTCCAGACTTTCAGAGAGGCCAGAAAGCCGTGGTTTTGGCTACCCCACCGGAAACCCAAAGCCTTTTCCGTTCCTTTGAGCTGTCTGGAAGGGCTGGGCCTGGAACTGTTCGTTTAACGGGCAGAAGAAAAGTTTTGTGTAGTTTCGTGCGGGAGGGTGGAGGGGGGGCCAACCCTTTCCTGGAGGGCTGGGTTGATGCACAACATGGAAAAGCACCGCCTCGTTGCCTGGCAGTTCTGACAGCAAACGAATGTGCCCGCCAGTCTGTTGGCGATCTCCTGGTCTGAAACGCTGTTTGCTTCACTCTAATTGCTTCCTTCACTTCCTTTCCGCCTCCCCACCTTCAGCACCACCCTCATCCAAGGGAGCGCGGGGCCGTGCCAGGTTGTGCCAGGCAGGGCTGGGCCCCACAGGATACCGCCGTCCAGCTGGGCTATTCTTGTCGGTGTGTATCTGCAAGATGCCTGTTGCTGTCCATGACTATTTTTCCATCAGAAATGCTGGCCTGCCAGGACCCCAGGTGGACGCAGTGGTGGAAGGAGAGTTCTGCCCTAGGAAATGTAGCTAGTCCCGAGTGCCCGGACTGAGGGAACCCCAGGGGCTCCTGATCCTGTCCCTGAAGGATTCCTGGGCAGATGTTGGAATGGGGACAGCCCTGTTTGGGTTCGGCACCCCTGGGACTCTGCCAGCATAGGCTGGTAACCCTGGCCTGCAGGAGTCCGGCGAGGGTGCCTCTGGGCCCCTGGCGGCTGCTTTCCTTCTCTGTCCTCTGCCCTTCCCTCCTCACCCCTCTCTCTAGGAATTGTAAGTGGTGTCAGTCTGAGAAAGTTACTTTTAGGCCTTGCCCCAGAGCAGTGGCCTGGAGGACGATTCCCAGTCACCCGGCAGTAACGTGATCGAGGAGAGACTCCTAAAGAACGTGGCGGTGTCCGTGCTGTTGTGTCCATTCTGACTCGTGGCAACGGCGCGTGTGTGCAGCAGAGCTGCCCCTTACCGCTGGTTTCCAAAGCAGATGGCCAAGCCTGTCTCCAAGGTGACCCCAGGCCCCTCGGACCCACCAACCACTTGGCCAGCGCTCAGTTGGCTGCGCCACCCAGGGGCTTCAATAGATGCACAGTGCTGGGCACGCCCGTGTAATGCATACACACGCTATAAACATGCCCTCAGTCCCTAGGGCTACAAAAGAAGCCATTATACAATTCCTGTTTAAAATTTATTAAGCGTATATGTGATCAAATCTGGTCCTTAAAAAGAAATTTGTTTTTTTACGTTCTGATAACAGTGGTGAAAAGGTTCTAAAGTCCTCAGGCATTTAGCACAAATCTTTGAACAGTTTTTCCCCCGTGGAAGAGCTTTCTCTCACAGAACAGTAGGTTCAAGTGGAATACCAGCACCCTGGGGCTTATGCAAGTCTGGATCCTGTTTCCCAGCACACCTATCGATGGCTCAAAGGTTTTTGCTAAGTTTTGCTGACCACAGTTATCCTTGAAACTTGTTCAGGAAGTGAGTGTTTTAAAAAACAAACAGCAGGGTGGCGGGGAAAAGGGTGCAAACACTTGAAACTCCGTGGCATATTTCTAAGCAGATTAAGAGAGTGTTTACAATTCCTAATCCTATAGGCACAGTGCATGAAGTTCACAATGCCATCAGAGCTGCTTAGAAGAGATTTGAGATGCGGCTTATGTAACATTTTTTATAGAATACATAAAATTTATTTATAAATCTTCATTCGAAATCTTTCTTTTTTCCACTGATCTTCTCAACTTCTCGGTTTTGCTTTTTCGTCATCGAAACAATCGTGTAGTACATGAGGACCTTTTGAGTGTGGCTTCTTAGCATGACATTTGAGATCCACCCGTGATGTTACGTGTATCAATAGTTTCCTACTAATAGAGTAGTAGCACAGCATATGAATATACCATTCCTCTGTTCACCAGTTGACAGACCTTGAGATTGTTTCCAGGTTTGGGTTAATATGAAAAAATCTCCTAAAATCACTTGCAGATTTTTGTGAGCATTTTTTCATTTAACCCGAGTAAATGCAACCGCCAAACTCTTTTCCATGAGCTTTCCAGTTGTTCCGCATTCTTACCAGCACTCCATCAGCCCCACCCCCGTGTCTGTACACAAAGGGGCTTCCTGAAAATGTGAGAGTGTGTGTAATGCGTAACACACACACCAGGGTAAGTCAGAGGTGTTGCTATGAAACCATAGAAACCTTTTACTAAAAGCAACAAAACATGAGGCTTTGTTTCTTGGTATGCCCTCCGTATGTCTGTGCATGTCTGAGGGCAGTGTTTGCATCTCGCTAACCCTTCCCCCAGTGAATTCTGCACTATATGCGTCACACCACAGCAATATGGCAGTTTTGACATCTTTGCGGGGATGCATATCAAACATGCAAGTGTTCTTTGAATTTGGGGAACAAAAAGAAAGTCGAGAGGGAGGGGTTCAATTCAGGTTGTGGGGTACAAAGGGTAAGTTTCCCACCAACACCATTCTCATAGGGTGGCCCTTGCTACCTTTGAAGAAACCAGTAACAGCGGGCAGCATCTTGTATCATGTATCACACATCACACGTCTCTTGGACTTTCTTTAGACACTATTGCCGTGAAGCGCATCACGGTTTCCCCAGTGCACTGACACCTGTGCCAGCCAGAGCAGCGGCAGTGTCCACCTGAACGTGAAACAGAAAGCTAATCGACAACGGTGAGAGCTGCTGCTCTTGATTTAGGCCTGTCCCACCGGACAACAATGACTCCGAGCTGCTAAGGGTCAGCTCCCCTGAAAGCTACAGCACCAACGGAAATGTGAGAGGGCCTATATCAAATACGGGAAATTATTGGCATGGGTTGAGGGCCAAAGGCAAAAGCTAATCAGCACTTGACCGATCAGTGACAAGAAGCTTATTCGAGATGTGGACAGCAAAAGCAGGCCCAGTCTACGCCATGGGGCTCCACAGACACCCAAACCTCATAGCATCCTGTCCCACCGACTGCTCTGAAGTGACGCATGACTGTCACAAAACAGCACAACACTAGATGTTGGCGTTTGTTTGTTTCAAAAGATGATGAGAATACAAACCTGTCTGTGAAAGAAAAGTAGCCATATAATCACTTGGCTGCAAGTGGATTTCTGTGTTGTATAAATAATTTAAACCTCGGGTGCTAACGACTAAGAATAGGAATGGCATTCGGACAAGAAGTGTCCAAAACATTGGTGCCCGTGGGCGTCTCCTCTAGGAGAGGCGGGAAGCCACATCAAAGCTGATGGCTGGTCAGAGGGGACGGTAGGCATTCCAGAAAGTATACGTGGTTTGTGCTGACTGGAGCGGAGGGTGTCCTGGGAACCTAGGAAGAGAAGGCTGGAGACCGTAGGAGGGTCCGATCGAGCAGGGCTTCCGCTGCCCTGCCAGTCAGGCCTTGATCTTGCCACATCCAGGCTCTCTGGGCCGGGGACCGCCTCATCTAATATGCAGCTGGCGCAGACTTCCCGCGTACGGGTTTTGGGGCTGGGACACTCATAGCCACTCATTTCTAATCTGGGAGCCCCGGGGGTCCCTCGAGGTGGCTCAAGGCCCAAAGGAAAGTGAGTTGGGTTAGAACCTTGGAGTGAAGGTCCCTAGAGAGGGCTTCAAGCAAGCCAGCTGCCCCAGGGGCGGTCCTTCCTCCAAGAGAGGCTTCTGCCTTTCCCACAGGCGGCACTGATCCCTGAAGTCCTCCGTCTGGCAACGTGACTGTCTCAGTGTAGGTCTGGCATGCTCCTCCCCTCTGGTCATCTGTTAGCCAGGCAGCACTGTGGTGTTTTTTTCCAGCCCCTAAATAACAGGTCATGGGAGTGGCTTTGCTTTCTCATTCGTTACTTCAGTCACACACACTCATTCATTCCTTCTACAGACGGGTTTTAAAGAAAAGACCTAGGCTGTGCTTGTCGGCCCTTATTAAAAATGCAGGCAGCAAGGCAGGACACGGCTGCCTCATGTCAGCCAGCTGTCCCTGTGTAACCAGAGCAGGCGTGCACGCAGAGGGCCTGTGCTGACTAAAGCAGACGCCAATGTGCGGGGCGAGTTCTGGCTCCTGTTTCAACTGTTTCTGCCACCCTCTGGCCGGAAGAAAGCTGCTCGTGTTGAAAGCTAGAGTTTAAAATGGGATTGCAGCTTAATGAGCATCTCTGTGATCAAAAGATCAAGTTGCTTACACCTCAAAGGGGGAGAACTCCTGCGCTCCCAGGCAGGAGGGTTTCTGCTATCCTGGCACTTAGGGGGAGTAGGGGTCGTTCCTGTAGATTCTCTGTGCTGGGTGGTAATTGCTGACTTCTGCAGAGCCGAACCCAGAGGGTGAGCAGAAGTGCTCACATGGGTTTTCCCCGTCCAGCCCACCCCACCCCAGACCGTGGTGGCCTGCACAGATGGCCGAAATCAAGTGGGACCAGCAAAGGCTGATTTGGTTAATTATCTCAGGTGGATCGATGATGTCAGGCAGTGCCAAGAGGGATGACTTTTTTTTTTTTAAGATGTGGAGATTTGTGGATTTGTAGTCTTTTTTTTTTTTTTGGTTTTGTTTTTCCATTTTCTCTCCTGGGCTGGAAAACAACACTGAAAGTGTAGGCTGGTCCAAACTCCATAGCTCTGTTTACTCTGCCTTCTCCTCCCCCGTGCCATCTGCCAGCTGGACTGTTGGCCGGCGCCGAGCTTCGTTTTGCTGTGTCAAGCCGGGGAGGTCATGATGGTTGGGGCTGGGGCGGGGTGGGTGAAGTGGATATCTGACGGTGTTTTCTTGCATTTCAGTCTTTCCAAGGAAGTCAAGGGCGAGCGTACCTCTTTAATTCAGTGTGAGTACCTTTTTTTTCTTTTTTTTTTTTTGGTACAACTTTTTAAGGATGGGGAAAGCAATCCTGGCCAACAATTAAACAGCGGTCTCTGTCTTCTCCGCCACCATTAACAACACCGCCCCCTAACCCCGGTGTCGCTCTCCCAATGTGGCAGTCACGATTGGGTAATAGCTTTGACTATAAAGAATACATGCCCTTCCAGGGTGGGCACATTGGGATGAGGGCAGAGATGTCCTCATCGGTGAGGATTTCAGGCCTTGGGCGCTGCACTGCAGTTGCCAGTGGGTTCACAAGAGGAAAAGCATTCGGTAGCAATAGCACATGAATTCCCTGCAAAGTCTCAAGCGTTCAGACTGGCTGTGGTTGATGCACTGGGTGGAGTGGAGGTGGGAAGTACATGTAAATAGAGGGAGATGCTGCCCCTCTATCTTTTGGGGTTGTTAAATATCCCAGCTACACACCATGTACCCAGTGCTGGTTTCCCCTAGGGCAGCCTTGTCCAATTCATTTTAAGTTTGGAAGCTCGGCTGGAATGATGAAGAAGTAGCTGGGACTGACTGCCTGCTCTCCCTGTGTCCCTTGGCATAGAGTTAACGTGGGCTGTGGGCCCGCAGAAGAGCGGGTGCTGCTAACAGGACTGCATGCAGTCGCAGACATCTACTGTGAAAACTGCAAAACCACCCTGGGCTGGAAATATGTAAGTACTGAGAATTCTGGTGGACGGAGAGGCCTGCAAAGGGAATAGTGGAGAATCTCACACGAGAATAGTGCTCTCTCTTTCTCTCTCTTTTTAACCTCTTTTCTCCACCCTGGCCACAGGGACCTGGGCTCAAAGAGCAGATCCCTGCACACACATCTGTCTGCCCCTCCCCTCCCTTTCCTCGGATACTCCCCTTCTCCGACTCATTGCTTCACACTGCCTCTCAGACACACACCCTTACCGTTGGTTTAGTAAATAATAACAAGAACGCAAAGCATTTGTTGACCGTCATCTACTAAGCATGAATCATTTTATTTACTTTTGACTGAAGTCCTAGAGATGGGTTCCATCCATTATTTACTGATGGAGAAGCTGAGCATGCTTTAGAAAGGGAGAAACTCCAGCTTAGGGAGGGGTAAGAGGATGCCCAGGCTTATCTAGCCATTAAGTGGCCAAACCAGGATTGGAAGCAGGCTAGCCCATGCTCTCAACCACTGTCCTTTGATGGCTTCAGCAAACCTTGCTAGCACATCCACTGGGTGCTAGGCCCTATGCTAGACACCATCGGATTCTCTGTTGTAATCTCAACCTTCAGAGAGCCTCGCGGTTGCACGCTCCCAATGAGATCATCATTCCGGCACTCTTCAACTGGGCGTCTTGGGGGATGGGTTCTTTGTCAGGGCAGGAGTTGGTTAGGACTGGGGCCTGTGACTCTCACAGTGGGGATTGATTGGTCCAACTCACTTTGGGGTCAGTGCACAGATCATCAACCCAGTCCTTCTGGCTAGTGCTAAAGAAACGTCTGGGCTTGGAGTCTGTTTCCAACAGAAGTGTACTGACAGCATTATTCCTATTCTTATTTTCTGCCCACTCTGTGATCATGGATTATTGAAAATCAGCCTTGCTGTGCCTAAGAGGACAGCTTTGTGACTGAGAGGACAATAACCCTCTGGGTGATTCGGGGCCATAGCTCTGGGTGTGATTATCCACAAATTTCTTCCCCTTCTGTTTCTCAGCCCCTATTTTCTGCTTACAGAGACCTTCATTCACCCATGTTTCCCTCTCTTACACCCACCCCCAGAGCTGGGGGCTAGTGAAGCTTCAGGGGGAAAAGGACTGCTGAGCCCACAGCTCTCAGGTGTGCTTGCACATGCTCATTTCCCCTCGTGTCCTGTCTGCACTTTGTCTGTGAAATGATTCCTCTCTCAAAGCGAGAGACCCAAGTCAGAACCCTTACCTGGATCGCGGGGCCCCTGAGATCGAGAGCAGGAGATGCCGCCCCTACGGCTGACTGTGGGGTCCCTTCCTTAGCCAATGGTTTTCAGATGATACAGCAGGGGGTTCTTATGTACCTATCTTGGTGCCTACAATGGTTCGCTCATCCTGAGTCTGCACGTGCCTTCATTCTATGGGGCTTATCAGCTGGGAGAGCCCACAGTGCTGTCTTTAGAAAGGTAACCTGCCAGGTGGTTTTGAATTGAGTCTTCCCTTGGGAGGCCTGGTAGTTGGGGCGGGTCCAGGGGACTGCCAGCCTTTCCAGCCCAGAGTTCACACAGAGCCTGTCTGCCCTGGGAAGAGGCTGTGAGGGAAAAGCAGACCCAACACAACACATCTGACACAGAAACAGTAAGACACAATGGAAAGAAGACTGTCTGGCCTCTCGGTACTTAGCTTCTCTTGCTGAATGCCTGTTCTCTTACACGCAGGACAGGGACTATTTAGTAGCGTAATCAGACCTCGCTGCTTTCCTGGAGGGTGGGGGTAGGGAACGATACACAAATTTGAGGCGCATGCAGCCACTGGGTCAGCACCACAAAGCAGAGACCTGAGGCTTGTGGACACAGCACCCCCTCTGACTTGACAAGGGTGTATGAAAGCCCTGCAGCCCGGGCGTCTTTTAGGAACTAGCAGTGAAGAACCTGTCTGCCTCCCTTAGGCTTAGATCCTAGTAGTGGAGACTGATAGTCGTCAAACACACACAGGTTATAGTGTGTGTTTGAAAAGGGATCAATTATTCTGAGAAAAATCCAGCCGGGAAGGGGGGCCGAGGGATCGAGGAAGTTGTGATGGTAAGTAAGGAACATAGTCCGCACCTCTATCTGAGCAAAGACTGGACGGAGCAGAGCCTCCAGACGTTCCCGTGTCAGACTGAGAGGAGTCTAGTGTTGGCCCTAGCTTCCGTGGCAAGCAAGGGGACAGGAGCCCATGAGTGGTCTAGATGGTCGCTCCATGACTCTGGGTGAAGCCGCACCACACCCCAGGGGTCTTGCCCCCCACCGTTGGTTGCCACTGCCTCTGTGTCTATGTCGCAACATCAGCTGCCTGGTCATTGGTGGCTCATTATTTGTCATTCTTCTCTCTCATCTAGGAGCATGCCTTTGAAAGCAGCCAGAAGTATAAAGAAGGCAAATACATCATTGAGTTGGCACACATGATCAAGGACAATGGCTGGGACTGATGGAAGAAGTCCCCCCAACCCAGTATCCACGTGAATGCCATCCAACTGAGCACTCTGCCTGAGCGTGAGAGAGTGACTGAACACTTGGTTCCAGCCATTTAGGGGCCATCTGGGGCAGCTCTCACCCTGATGACATCTTTCTGGTGACTGGCCTCCAAATCACTGTCTCTCTGTCTCTTTGCTTTCTATCTGTCTGTGAGTTGATCCTGGCTTCTCTCTCTGTTCTAGTGTTGGCTAAAAACAAAACCACAAAAGGAACAGATGCCTGATGCATGGTGGCAGCCCACCTTGATAGGGGCCCCGGGGCCCATGCAGGAGCTGCCAGATGGCCTCTGGTCGGGTGCACAGTGGCACAAGGGTGAAAGGAAGGAGGGATGGGGGAACCCCAAGGGTCCTGGCTAGTGGGTAAGTCTGGGGGTGGGGTGGGGGTGGCGGAAGGGAGAACACTGTGCTGCTCCTAGAGACCTGCTAAGCTAGGCTTGAAATAATCAACTTGTCTAAAAGGACAAAGAAAAAAAAATACCTCATGACTGCATTCTCTCTGATCGGAAGCCTTTGTCCCTGACACTGAATGTGCCAGGTTAGCAATGAGCACAAGAAGTGGCCCCATTTCTAACTAGCTGATGGGGCGAGACCTGGGTTCTCTTGGGCTGAGGGGGCGGAGGAGGGTGTTGCTGGCAGCATTCAATGACTGGGCAGAGCCCAGATGGGTTTTAATGACTCTGAAGCCTCACCACGCCTGGGGGTTCTCTTCTTTGCCTCCTCAGCCATTGTATGTGAGGGGAAAGGTGTTGCCCTTTGCTCTGGGCTCAAGATCCAAAGATCCCAAAGGTTTTGATGAATAAACCAAGTAAAATCTGTAATTTAAGGAGAGCTGGAATAGGCATGGCTCAACTGTAGGGCCAGAAAATGAAACAGTACAGCCAGTTAGCAATTCTGCCTCCCTGGCCCTTATTAAAGAGCAGTGTGGCCAGGAACCCAGGAATGGGGCGTGTGGGCAGTGCCTGGCAATCATTAGATTGGAGTCATTGTAGGTTAGGGGTAGCTTTCTTCTTTGGGTGTGTCTGGGCTTTGGGGGATCAGCAGTTCTTTTGTATATAGAGTATGGCGTGTTTTTTCCCTCTATTTCCATCCATGTAGACCATGAAAAACATAAGCCCATATGTTTTTGCGCCAGTGCTCGCCCGGCAGGTGGATCCTTTATGCCCTGAGTTGTTCTTCGTGGACTTGACTGTCTCGTGGGCAGAGAAATCTCGGTCGATGTGGCCCAGCAGAGGGGTCACACTTCCTATTCACCCATCCCCACCCAAACCTCATGGTGGTGTGACAGTGCAGAACAAGTCCCTGTAAGGCTCATGAGAGAGAGGAGCTTGTTACCTCTGCCCAACATTGAGAAGTCTGGCCAGTACAGGGTGCATGGCCTGAGAGCCACTTCAATGAGTTGATTTCATTTCTTATGCAGAAAATATTATTGTTAATATGTGTATGTTACAGAATTATCAGCATCTCATTCTCCAAGCAGGCTGATCTTTAAGGGAAGTTTCCCGTAAAAAGTCACAGAAGAGTAAGTCGATGGAGCTGAGGATCTGTGAAGTTGGTTGACCAGGATGAAGGCAGCCAGCCCAGGAGTGTCTCATTAGTGCCCCCGAAGCAGAACCAAGCATCCCCAGGGACTGAGTCTGTGCTGGAAATGCCTTTTGGTGTCTCTGTGCTGATTGCAGAGTGGAGGAGCCGGGAGAGGCAAGGCCCTGGCCAGCTGGAGTAGAGGGCAGCCGGCCTGGCAGAATGGATGGTCAGAAAGAACGCAGGGGCAGAGTCAGGCCTCTGCTGAACAAAAAGATTCTTAGGAATGGATTCTCACCCCCCCCACCCCCCACCCCCCAAAAAAAGACTTATTGCCCGGTTCCTCCTGTGCCTTAGCTGCTCTGGGAATTGAGTGAGTAAGCTGTTTTATCCATTTTGCCGACAGGCAGACTGAGGTTCAAAAGAAGTACATATTTCGCTTCTGCATCCAGGGTAAAATTTCTCCTGGCTCCCAGGCTCCGAGGTCCCAGCAGAAACCGTTTTCAGTTTGCACATTCCTGAGCTGGCTGCCAGCACACGCACCATGGGTTTCCTCCTCTCTCTCTCTGCTGAAGGAAGTTGCTTTGTTTATGAATTTTGATTAGCCCCTTTGCTCAGGGGAAGTCCAGACTATTAAAAAAATTTTTTTAATATAGGTTCAGTTGAGTATCCACGGAAACATGGCGCCATACTTGGTATAAGAGATCTGGTGTTTTTCCGAAATTACAGGAAAGGAAAATCCATTAGGCTGTCGCTGTGTGTCAGTGAAACCAGACGTGCGCCCTATAGCTTTGGCCCCATTCCTGGCTTGCCTGTCTATCGAATGCCTCGCGTACAGGGGAGGCCGCAGCGGAGCAGTGGCGATGCCGCAGCTCTCGGCCTCCGGCCGTTCATTCTTTAGTTCAGTTCCTCACCAAATTATCAACTCAGAGCATAACCAAAGACCGCATCCATTCACCCCAGGTTGGTTCAGGAAATTGGAGTTTGCGTGGGCAGAGGGTCAGGGGTCAGGAAAACAGGAAAGGGCGAGGTTGGAAAGGGAGAGGCATGGAGTTTTATACCCTGGCAGCAGCTAGCTGCCTGTACTTTAAACAGAAGTTCTGCCGGCAGACGAGTTCCACCACCCCTGTGCCACCCTAAGTTGTATGGCCTTGGCCCCAGTGGGTTACATCTAGATCCCCCCCACCCCCTTCCTCTCTGGCTGCTGGTGGGTTAATTTGTTGTGAATCAGATATAGCCAAACTTGATGCCCACGGGCTCTCAACGAGGCCTGACCAGGTACCGCCCCAGCTCCGGTCACAGGAGCATCACGCTGAGTCAGTTCGCACTGGTGGACCAGTGTGTGCAAAAGAGGTGTCCCCTTTATAAAAAGATTTTCAAGTAGATATATATATATATATATAAAGAAACGGTCACTTGTGAAATATACTTTTGTAAATAATATTTAATTTTTTAAATAATATATTTGGTGCTGTTTTCTCAGATCCCCTGAGAGCACTTTTCATTTGTAGATTCTGTGGTTTCCTCCACATTTCTTGACGTATGTTTTAAGGGAAACATTGATCACCAACATACTTTTATTTTTTAAATGTCTGGACTGAGGCCCTAGAACAGCCTCCCTGCACTTCTTCCCAGTGGAGCAGACCCTGCAAGAACATTGACCAGGTTGCCCCAGAATTGGCTAGAAAAGCACATAAATAATCACGCAAACTCAGTAACAACTTGGTTGGAAGAATTTCCACGTCATTGCAATGTGTGTGCGTGTGCATGTGTGTGCGCGCAGGCGCACAACCACTTTGGGGTGTGTCCCTGTTTTCCTGGGGACACTGCAGTTTACACCTCGGGCTCATGAGGTCTTTCTTCGCTTTCTGTCTGGCTGTTTTGCCTCTGAGCGGACCAACAGCACAAACCACACGGTGGTTGTTTTCCTGAGCAGGGGCCGTCGGGGTTCATCCTTTCTCTCTCTCCGTGTGCTCAGCTTTCATTCGCCGGAGAGGAAGTGTGTTGTTTGGAAGATCCAGCAGAGTCAGGCCTGCTTCTCGCTGAGATGTGAATGTAGCAATCATGTATCCCAGGGCGCCGGTTGTTTCAGAAGCCACATCATGTTAAACTTCTAACTGGTTTGGGTTGAAAGATCATTAATAGAAAAATACAGCCCTGATAGGTAAACAGCTTCTTTTTGTTTGTTTGTTTTGTTCGGCTTTTTAAGGTCAGATTGCCTCGGGTTCAGGAAGAGGCTGGGAACTCAGATCTTGAACACACGCATGATCCACATTTTGTTGACTAGGATATGCCTCAAACAAGAAAACGTGCTCGTGGTCTAGGTCGAAGAAAGCAATGTTCAATTTCTCAAGTGAAAGTACTTTCAGGAAATTTGCCAACAGTGAAAGGTAAAACCAAGAAGACCCAAGCTATTCCTGTGTTACCCAATCCTGTGTGCCCCAGTGTTTTTGTGTGGCATCACCCCTCAGATTGTCTTTCAAGACAGAACCTATGTATGCTTGTGTTTACAAATTGTGATAATTGGGTTCAGGTCCCTTTGTTTTGTGTTTTTCTTTTTGCATTTTTCAGATCACTGCTTCAATAATGAAGATAAGTGTGTTCAGATAATTTGTCTTCATCTTGTATTTGTACATAGTGATTCAGTATTAGAGAAAAGTACATTGTTTCTGTCCTATTTGCAATCTGTGTTGGTGCTCATTTGAGAAAATAAAGTTTTCAAATATTAACTCTCTGGAGGTCGTGGCTGTCATCATTGGCTCCGTCTGTTTTTTTACTTTGCTGTTTAATATTTGAAGTGCCTGCCGGAGGCCATCCAGTCTAACCCGTTTCATAGGACTGTCATTTGAAACCCTGATGGTATATTTTCCCACCGACAGACAAGCCATTTAATGATCCAAAACACAGGCATCTTCTTCACCAGCAAATGCCTCTCCTTGTTTTAGCAATCAGAACTCCTCCAGTGACTTCTTTCCACTTCCGTTAAGCTCTGTGTCCTGCAAGTTTATTCCTACATCACTTGCTCTTGTGGAGCTAGGACTCCAATGAGTGTGGGATGGGCAGAAGAAGTAAATGACAAAATTATCTCAAAAGAGAGTGATGCTCCCCGGCCAGCCCACCCATTGCATTTCAATCCCCTGTCCATTGGAAAGTTGGCCAATCAAAAAGGAACACCAAAGAATTGATGCTTTCGAACATGGCTTGGCGAAGAATATCGAATAAATCACGGACTGCTAGAGGAGTGAAGAAATCTGGCTTAGATGGTAAGGCTTCATCTTACCTCTTTGGACAGGCCCTCAAGTAGCGTTTCAGCAAAACGGAGGCAGATGGCCAGCAAGATGGATTGACATAGTGACTGCAAAGATGGGCTCCAACCTAGTGTGAGGCCGGCGCAGGACCAGGCTTCTGCTCTCTGTATGCAGCGTGGTTGCCTAAAAGCAATCACCTCCAGGTGCTTGGCTGGCAAAAGGAGAAGGATGAATAGCCACAGTTAAAATATAACCATGCATTAATTAATTACCACTCATGCTTTAAGTAATGTTCGTGATCGTTTGTGTGAAATAGGATCTCATGTAACTTGAACATTGTTCCCATACCATGTTATACGCATATGTTGTCTATGAAGACCAGCATTTGACATACTTACCAGCTACACCTGACTGCCAGCGTACTTACAAATTCAGTGACATTGGACTCGGACACCCTTGGACATGGAACAGGCTCAGAATCAGGGCAGCCTGTGTACGCTGGCAACAATAAAGTGCTGCTCTGTCCTGTGTGTGATCTTCGCTTGCTCGCAGTTTGACCCACTTGTTGCAGCGATTGTGCCGATC